CGACTATTTCGGCCACTACTTTTCTCCCGCGATCGTTCCAGCGACCGTCACAGGTTTATATAATATGGTCACAGATTCACAATTTAGTTAGTCACATATTATTTTTTGGTCACAAATTAAAATTTTTTACGTCACAAATTATTTTAAGGTCACGGCTTAAAAATTTTATAGGTCACAATTTGTTTATCGGTCATAGATCAAAAATTATTTCGAGGTGACAAATCAAAATTTTTATAGGTTATAGATTATTTTATTGGTCACGGATCAAAAAATTACAGGTCATAGATTAATTTTTAATCACAAATTGTCGAATTTTAAGGTCACACATAGTCCATTATGCGGTCACAGCTAGTCTAATCTATGACCACCGTTTACAGTTGCGACCACCAGTTCAACGTTGTCTCTAACAGCATCACCACCGTCCACCGCCACCACTACACCAGCAGCACCCACGTAACCACCAAATCCACCACCATCACCCACCTCTACCACGGCTAGAAACCACCACGACCACAGTCAAATATACCAAAAAAATGGGTGGTTTAGATTTGAGGGTAGAGGTGAATCCATATTCTTCTTGTGCTTGAACTAGTAATTTCTTGAACAATGGATGGCTCGGATCTGAGGGTAGAGAGTCCGGTGGTGGAGAGAATGGAAAGGATACTGCAGAAAAAAATTTGGCTGAGAGTCCGATGGTGGAGAATTTGACCGCGAGCTGCTTCACTTCGCTGCACTGCCGCAATCTATTTTTCTGGCCGGTGATGGTTTGGCTGAGAGAGACGGCGACCGGCATAAAGAGAGGAATGAGAGGTGAAAATAGAGAGAGAAAAGAGAGAGGCGACGATGTGTGAGATTTGTAAAAAGAGGCATGTGCAGCCTCTGCCGATGCTCCATCAAGTCGTCGGTGATTTTGGAAAATAGATCTTGAAAAGTAGGGAATTTGCACTTGATTTTTCTTTGAAAATTGTCCATTTACTCACTATTGGGTCGGGAAAAGAGATAAATGGGTCGATCACATCAAACATATTTGGGTCCAAATAAAATAATTCACGGGCCTGCCATTTCTTAGCTTGGCCCATAATAGCCCATGAGAGAGCCATTTTTATTTGTCCAAACCCTAGATTACAATCTTTTCTCTTTAGCTGGTAGAAGTAAACTGAACCCTCGGGAACGATACTTTGCCCATCGACGACGCGGCGGCGGCACAAGAAGTTACCGGCGAGAAAAATACCGTAATAATCTTTTACTTTTCTCTCCTTTTATATACATATACACACGTCAATTTATGTGTACGTAGATGTAGAATTAAACTGTGGTTTTTGTTTATATTTACAGAATATGACGGACAAGGCAGTGACTATCCGAACGAGGAAGTTCATGACAAATCGTCTCCTCTCTAGGAAACAATTTGTAAGTCTTCAATTCTATTATATGTAACCTTTGTAATTGTATTTTTTTTTTTTTTTAGTTTCTATTTATTGTACAATTTGATATTTTCACACTCATTTTTACGTGGATTTGTTTTGTAGATCATTGACGTGTTACATCCAGGACGGCCCAATGTTTCTAAGGTCTGACTTCTCATCATTTTTCGCATTATGCCTTTTGAGTGCTAGGTTTTTTGGATTGAAGTATATGTATTTGTGATTCGAGAACTCATATTTTGTACCAGTCTCTATGTCGTATTCTGAAAAGGTTAACAGTAAAATCTGCGGTTTATGAAAGTAAAACTGGCTTCTGTATGGCGTAATATAATTAGAAATTCTGTTGGTGTCCTTTGTCGATGATTTATAAGGTTAACTGTAAAATCTATTATTTTATGAACGTTATACAAGCTTCTACAAGCCATAGCATAATTATGGAAATGTCGAAGGAAAATTAATTAACAAATAAATAGATCTGTTGGTGCTCTTGGTTGATGATTATTAGTTACCTTAGGTTTCTGATTGCTAAAAGCAATTTTTCTGCTCAATTTTCGTTGTGCTCCTGATTTTTACATATATGTTGGCGATTTGATTTGATTTGGGTAAAAAAATTGTGGTCTCTTTAGTTTTACCTACTTTATGTATCATTGTAGGCTGAGTTGAAAGAGAAATTGGCAAGGATGTATGAAGTGAAAGATCCAAATGCGATATTTGTCTTCAAGTTCAGGACCCACTTTGGTGGAGGCAAATCCACTGGTTTTGGCTTGATCTATGATTCTGTTGAGAATGCAAAGAAATACGAGCCAAAATACAGACTCATCAGGGTAATTCCTGTACTCCATTTAACTTTTCGCATTGTTCATTTTATGTTGGTAAATGTAACATTTAATCTGGTGATAAATTCATTAGCACGGTCTGTTCAACATCTTTTGGGATGATGAATATTTAATTGTCTGTTGTACTTGTGTCATGCTTTTATGAGGCTTAGACTATAGTAAGGTATTTTTACTTTACCCGGACACTTGAAGCATTTAAAAGAATAGGCTTCTTGTACTTAACCAATAAGTGTGTTTCACATTTATCATTCCGTCATTACGTAGATGGTTATTACTGTTTTTGCTGCATGCATTTGATGTGTCTATGAACTAACTTATTCGTCCCCCTAGAATGACTCGTCCCTTTGGTTTTGCATTACTTATGTGCATGGATAAATGATAACTCATTTCAAAATATAGATTCCACAACATATATTCTATCTGGATCTTGTATGTTGCAAATTCTAGAGGAACTTGATGTAATGATGAAGGTTTTTGTTGAATCAGAAACGGCTTACTCATCTAATAAAAAGCTCATTTTCCATCGAAAATATATGCTCAATACATTAATTAGTATTGACCAAACGTGCCAAAATAACATTTTTACTAGTTTTTTTAAAAACTCAAAATAAATTGCAACGCACATTGAGCACAACTATAGTATATATAAAGAAGAATAATAATATATATCATCACTGCTTACCCACCCATAAGAACCCTTGGTTATGTAATGCCATATTCATAGTTGATGAAATGGACTGGAAACTTGGACAAAACATTTTCCTTGAAGTTCTAAAAGGTTTCAGTAGAAAATCCACAAGGAGATGTCAAAAACGAATTGTGCACAAAAAAGCAAAAAGATTAATATGAATGCATCACAACAGGGTGTGCTTATTTATCCACAATGGCGTTTATTTTTTAACATTTCCATGATTTTATAATTCTTATTTCTCAAAATGATGACTATTTGAAGAGGAGAAAAAATCTTTCTAGTTTCATATAATACATGCTTAGCCTGCTCAAATCAGTCATGTTGCTTGAATTGTTGTTTTATTAGTTGATAGGTTTGTTACTTTTACTTTTCAGGCCGCTTAACTTTTCCTAGAGATTTTTATATTTTGCTTTGGATGTCTGGTTTTTTATGCAGAACGGTCTTGATACCAAGGTCGAGAAGTCCAGGAAGCAACTGAAGGAGAGAAAGAACAGAGCAAAGAAGATCCGTGGTGTGAAGAAGGTAATACATTCCACCTTTTTATGATAGATAGAGTCCTGGATATAGTAGTCGAAAGTTTTGCAATAATTATTGGTATGGCTTAAAATAAATGACAAGCCCTTAACATCAACCTAATCAATCTTTTTATCACGATCTAACTGGGGTTGGTTCGGGTGGTGGAGGGACTGGATCAGAAAAAAGAGGTTATCATAAAATTAATCAAAGGGCATGCCAACAAACCTGTGCACTAGTATTGTTGTATTATATTCATGTTACCTTTTCCCTTGTTTTCCGACTAACTTCTTTAATGGACTTGTACAGACTAAAGCTGGAGATGCTGCTAAGGCTGGCAAGAAGAAATGAGTTTTTAGGATTTCATGCTTTTCATTTTTGGAAACTGAATACAGAAAATTCTCTTTGCAGCCAAGTTTCTCATATTGTTTGTCATTTTCCTTTGATAATTTTAGTTGTGGTCTTTTATTAGAACAAACGCGATTTCGTGGAGTTTTTCAGTACGGGTTAGAAGGAAGAAAAACATTCAGTTTCATATGATTATATGACATGATCTGTAGCTTATAAATCATTATTATCAACTGTCGCTAATGTTTACTTTCTTGCGTTGATATTATTTTTCTGAACAATACAATTACTTTGAAATCATGAATTTACAACTGCCAGATATGAATATATGTTAACACTACAATTTAACTGCAAGGATAGGGGCTTATTTGTTTATTTTTGTTATATTTTAATCTTTAACTTTGTACACTATGAAGGTTTCTGTTTGAATATTTAACTTTTGTATTTGTTATTTTCGCTCAATTGTGACGGGATCAAGTTGGTTAAGGCATAAAGTATGAAAATCAATTCTGGTGTTGAGTTTGCAATCAACCCGACTGTACCCAACTTTAATATGTATATTAAATTTATTTTTTTAAATCTAAACGGTATATATATATGTTCATGTCGTACTTGGTCACCGGATTAATTGCTCCTCTCAAGCAAGGTCCTCCATGATAGTAAAATTTCTCGTATTTGATTGAAAAATACCAATATTTATCTTGTAAAAGCGTAGTAGATCGTAGTGTAGGATAAAATAGAAGAATCTAATGGATCGATCTTGAACTTTGGGTGATTGAACCGTCTCGAGAGATATCTAAAAGCATTTCCCTGGAATCCCTTGGCTCCAATCATGAAGAACTAGATTTGATTTCTTCTAGTTATGAAGAATATATAGATATTTTAATTCTTTTTAGAAGCTTTAGTATTAAAACTCTACTGGGTAACTTACACAAATACCTTTAAATTTTGAGGTCTTTTAAAAGATCATATGAAATGTATTTTTGAAGTAAAAAATACTCTGTAAAATTATAAAAAAATGACACAATATCACTTTTTTTTAAAAGTTAAGCGTCACCTTTTTACATACAATATTACTTTTATTAAAAAGTAATTTTTTTCACTAAAAGAAGTTGTAGAAATTTTAAGAATGTGACATAAAGTAAAAATAAAAAATAAAAGAATAGTGACAAACATTAGAAAAAATGACAGAAGTCTAAAAAATGTGACAAAACAGTTAAAAAAAACTGACAACAATTTAAAAATGTGACAAAACACTAATTAAAACATTGAAATCAGTTCAATAAACTTTACATTTAAGTCAATTAAATCAACATTGTTGAGATATTCTTAAATCTCAATTCTACAAAATTACCACGTTCTATCACTTTTTAAATTAAATTTGTCACTTTTTTGAATTTTTATCATTTTTAAAATTTATGTCACTTTTTTTTTGTGTTTCACTTTTCTGAATATTTGTTATTTCTTTAAATTTCTGGCACTTTTTTAGTGTTTGTCACTTTTTAAATTACCAAGTATCTATAAATGAGAAATTTAATTTAACCTATTATGCAAAACAACCCGAAAAATCATGTTTGCATCCGATTTCCATAAATTGCAATTCAAGAGTAAAGAAAAATAAAAGCAGATCTGGACCATAATTCACTTATTGGATTTGGATTTTGACATGAAAAGATGAGATTTCAGGGATTCATAGTTGAATCCTCTACCAATTATTCCATGCGTGTACCCGTACTTGAACCCGACACCTATATATCATCTGAATCCAATGCCCAACACCATTTTGAGGTGGTTCTGTGGCGAACCGTCGAACCCGGCTCCGCCTGCTATTCCCATTCCCAGTCCAATGTTGCACCCGATTCCAAGACCCAGAATTGAATCTCCACGAAAGCTAAACCATTTTGTTCTTTCTTTATCCCAAACTCCATTGCAAGATTCATAGATAAAAAAATATTAAAATCTAATTTCACATAATTTCCCAAAAAAATCACAAATCCACTGAGCAGACGTTGAAGAAGAATAAAGCAAATAGTGTTGGGCAAGTTGAATGCATACAGATACATAAAAATATTTAAATACAAATACATAAAGGAAAAGAAAGAAAACGGTCTTTCACGAATCAACGACTCTTTTTCCTCCAAAACCTAGGGCAACGAAGTCTGAAATTCTTTGGGTTCGAATTCAGATTCGGGTGCAGCAGAATGGTGACATTAATTGAGTGAGATGGTTTCGTTGGGAGTTTTTTGGAAGTTCTGGAAATTGGGAGTGATTTGGGATTTTGTAGGTGGTTTTGATAGTTTCAAAATGTATTAAAAACGTGATTAAATCATTTAATAAGTTAAAAGGGTATTAATCAATTAAGTAATTTTTTCAGGGTATTGGACCTAATTTTCTCAACTCTATTTGTGTTGGGGCCTTCTAAACAATTCAATTTAACAGATGTTTGTTGTGTAAAATTAATCAACCTCCAAAATAATAATGTTACTGCATCCGAAAGTATTATTTAATGGATCGTTTATTGTAATTAAAATGTAGTCTAGTTAACAAAAATCGTGGTGTGAATACATTTACTCAAAAAATGATTAGAGATTAAAATGTCAATTTACAATATAGTCCTCCAGTCTATGGTATACAAAACCTGCGTGCCTCAAAATAAGATATACAAAACCTGCGTGCCTCAAAATAAGATTTAGGGTTTAGGGTTTTTTTTTTCTCTCTGTGAAGCGAATCAGGCATCTTACGCAAGCCGACCGAATTCTAGCCATGGTTAATCTCTCTCTGCATATACATTCTTGTAAATAGGTTTCTGTTGATATCGGTATTGATCTATATCTATTGTCGATTTTTGAATTTTGCAGTCTTTGATAGCAAATGAGGATTTTCAGCACATTCTTCGTGTTCAGAACACGAATGTGGATGGAAAGCAGAAGATAATGTTCGCACTTACGTCAATCAAGGGTATCGGTCGTCGATTCGCCAATATCGTCTGCAAGAAAGCTGATATCGACATGAACAAGAGGTTTTCTTTTCCTTTTTCCTCTCTCTCTCTCTCTCTCTCTTTATTTTCATATTATTTAATTTTTTTTTTTACTCCAGTACATATAATGTAGATACAATTTAATATCTGTTTTTACCTTTCTGATTTTATGCACTTGCTGATTCTATCGAGCGATTTGATTTATTGATTCAGTGCTATGACAACGTCGCATAAGTTCTCTTAATATTGACACTCCTGAGACACCCTGAGAGCACGGGAAAATTTACCGTCACAGAAAACTTAGGACGTGTTCGGTAGAGATTAAAATTGGATTAAAATTGAAACAATAGCCGTTGTTGACTTTTATTAGACAAGTGAGACCCAATAACGACCATATTTCAATTAAAATTGGATTTTAATCCTGTGCAAACATGCTCTTAATATCCCTAAATTTTGTTTTGCACAAACATCACAAAAAAGAGTGTTTATTTAAATATCTCCCTTATTTATTTGTGATTTGGAATGATGAAATCAATTTTGGAATTTGGTAACCCCAATTCCATGAGATGAAATGGAGCTTGAGTATATTTTGACCAATGCATTTTCATTAACCAAGCTAAGGTCTGTAGTTTTGTAGAAAAAACAAGTGCCTTCTAGGAACATCTTTTGCCTTCAATTTGTTATGGTGTATTATAGTTTTTGTGCCAAATATGGGTATCATCAACAATCTCTTTTGCACTTGTTTGAGGCATATTTTCTATATTATACATGCTTGAGGTTGGTAATTGAATTCTTGCCAATCAAATTTGAGTTTATATTTGAAGATCTAATTTCTGAAATCCTGTGTACGTGCTTCCAAATGTAGACATGGTTTGTTTTCATTTTACTACTTAATAGGTGATGTTTAGAATATTAGATACTGTATGTAAAAACGTATTGTTATTATAGACGAGGTGATCCAACAAAGTAATAGAGTCTCTAGAGTTCAAATCTTGCAGCCACCCTTTTATTAAAACTGTGTTTTACATTTTATAGAAAATGACTTCGACTTGTACTTCAGACAAAATTTTATTAAATAAAATTTGAGTGAATGATTGTTCGATCTTTAATAACATAAGCTATTAGATCAGGTGGTTCAATATGGTATTAGAGCAATTGAAGATTATGAGTTCATGTCTTGCTATCATCCATTTACGAAGATAATGTGGGCGTACACCTTCTACGTAAAATAAATCCAACTTGTAGACAAGAAAGCACATTGAAGGCAAAGTTAAAATATATTAATATGTCCCCTTTTTAACCTCATAATTTGACGAGGTTGTTCAACATAGTTAGAAATAATGCTTCTGATGTATATGCCTTTATTCAAGTTGGGTCTTCTTGAATTGGATGGTCCATTTTTGTAGACTTCTGAAGTTGTTTAACTTGAATCTGTAGGCTTTATATGTTATTCTATGTACATAATGGGGAGTGATATCATTTTACTTTAGGTTTTAAGGTTTTAATTTCATCCTAATTACCCTTATGAATTTAGATTGCATGTAGACCTTGGTTTAGGTCTGGACTGAACTGATCAAAAGTTTTAACTTGGAAAAACCTGTTGTAGGGCTGGTGAGCTTTCGGCTGCTGAGATTGACAGCTTGATGACGATTGTGGCCAATCCTCGCCAATTCAAAATCCCCGACTGGTTTCTGAACAGGAAGAAGGATTACAAGGATGGGAAATTTTCTCAAGTGACTTCCAATGCTCTGGACATGAAACTGAGGGATGATCTTGAGCGTTTGAAGAAGATTAGGTTCAACCGTATGCTTTGCTATTTAGATCTATTTCTCTTGCTCATGTCTATATTTACTTTGGTTTTGTGTGACAACTGTAGGAACCACCGTGGTCTCCGTCACTACTGGGGTCTTCGAGTGCGTGGACAACACACCAAGACCACTGGCCGTAGGGGAAAGACTGTTGGTGTCTCCAAGAAGCGATGATTCTCTTTTTCTCACATTGTTCTCATGAATACTCTGGTTTTAGG